TCACCTTTGCCACACCAATCCCACAACACGTTTCTGCTATTTAGCATCATTTCATCTTTTTCTCCTGATAACTTGAGTTTACCGCAGATCACAGTGCCTAGCTCTTATCAACAAACAACAAACCACACGTGCGTTCCCTTCTCGTCAGCAGGCCCTTCCTGCACCCTCATCCTGGAGAACATTTGCTTGCGTACTTGATCACTCATTCTCAGGCGTTCCTGGTGATACTAACCCCCCAAACTGCATAAAATACAAAACTGAACTTTGGTCTTCTCTCCTGGGAAGGGCCTCTCCGTCCGAAGCTCCTACGAGCCCCACCATTTGGCTTCGTGCCGTATCGCACCGCAACCCTAGAGCCCCAAAGTAGAGCATCAGTCCTCCTGGGCTGACGTGTACCCCACCTGCCAAACACCCTACCCAGCGGTTCCCTTACAGCCTGCTATCTGCACTTAATTTGGCTCTACATCGCAGCCCATCCGCTGACCATCGGCAATCCTATTTTTTCTAAGAGAACCATCAGTTTTATTTTTTTTTTTCTTTTTTCGAGACAAGCCGCCATGTCACCTGGCTAATGCAGTGTCACTGATTCACGCCTCACTGCCAACCTTGCGACCCTACTAGGAGTTCAAGCATTTTCCAATGCCCTCAGCCTCCAGAGATACTGATTAACAGGCACACGGCCACTGTGCCTGTTAATTTTTTTCGATTTCTGGCTAAAGAGCCGCGCGGCGGTTTCACTATTTGCCCCAGCCGCTGGTCTCAACTGGACACAAGAGATTCACTGTCCCCTTCGGCTCAAAGTGCTGGGTCACACGTGTCAACACTGCTCCGCCAAGAAACTCATGTTTTACACAACTCTAACCCCTCCCGCTTCTTACAGGCACTCTCGTATAGTGCGATACCTGAAGCCCATAGATGTAAACATGAAACTGACCACTTTATGTGGGAAGTCGACAGTCCACTTCCGTAGAAAAATCCTGTGTTCTAGCATAACATGCTTAAGACATGCCCATAATGTGAAATCTATCAAATCCAGATAGTACAGGATGCAAAACCTCTCACTGGCCAAATTACAAGTCCATTAATACCATGAAATAGTTACCTAGACTCAGCTCTGGCACATCTGGGTAAAGGCGGCCAGAGTAAAAATATCTGAACCAAAAACTCCGGTCACACAACAGCAATCACTATTTACATTTAAACCTTTCATCAATCTCACCTCAAATCACACTCTCTTTTTCAGGGGAGTAGGAATAATTAACCGAACAACTCTGAAACAAAAATCTCAAAATTATGACAGATGGTACAGATATTTATTTTCTCTGAGCACAGGTTGGGTCTAGGCCATGGCTGCCCCTGTAGCTCCCCTCTTGTAAGAGATGCAAAGCTTACTTCTGGGCACACCCATCTCCAGCTGGAGATGCAAGCAAAGGCCACTGTATAAGGAGGCAAAGCTCTCCCTTACTGTTTGAAGGACCTCTAACAAGCATATGCTGGAGAGAGCTCTGACAGGGAGCATTTTACAAGGTCCCACTGGAGCTGAGGCTTGAGGTCAGGTCCAAGTGCAAGCTTCCTTCCCATCACAGCTTCCGAGCCTTCCTGGGGCGGCAGCCGTTGTGCGGGATTGGGGTGTTGTCTGTGATTGAGATCACTTCCAGGCCCCCCATGGTCAGTCCGTGGATGGCAGACTGGAAGGAGCAGAAAGAAAAGTAGAATGGCATGGTCCCAGAAATGATGATCCAGTGTCTCTAGGCAGGGTTCGGAGAGGGACAGGGTGGGGTAGAGAAGGGAAGGGAGGGGTGACATGCCCACTGGCTTTGATATAACCCCAATCCTATTCTACTCTCACAAACGTCTCCACCCAAACCCTTTAGCCAGGTTTTCACTGTCCCCCTCTCAAATCATACCCACCACTTTCCACGTTGTGCTTTACAGTCTGAACAAAGACTTCCTGTAGATCTTGGCACACCTTGGGTATCATACTTCTGTAGCTTACTTCGGCCGTTTTCTCTGCCTGCAATGTCCCCCACCACCCACTGTGCCTCCACCTCCCTAATACCTCATTATTCCTGCAAAGTCAGAGAGATGTCACCTCTTTGAGGAAGCTAAAGATTATCTGTGCTAATGATCATCAGGAAAGATTATCCTTGCTAGGTACGGGATCCCCTGATGGGCTCCCAGCACTCTGGCACATGCTTACCACGGCACTCACCAGTCCGTCCTGAGGGATTTGTTTGTGACAGTTCCTCCAGGAACCACCTTCAAATTCCCAGTCTATGGCACACAGCAGGCACTCAGTGAGTGTCTGATGAATTATACTAAGTGATCTAGGCTTGCTCTGAGGGGCTTAGTCGATTATATAAACCACCGACGGGAACTTCAAGCAAACATGGAAATCCACTAAAGGGTGTTTTCTAATCTCTCTGTACTCTGCTCTCAAGCCCCAGATTCTCACTTACTAGAAGGCACACACACTACGGAAATCACTGTAGCTTACCAAGCGTCCTGGCCCCAGGCCTTTCACCACAACTCGGATATGGGTCACACCTTTTTGTGTAGCTTTCTGGAGAGAAGCAATGAGTGGTTAGTGCCCCGGAGAGAGAACTACTGCATCCAAATCTCTTGTTACTGCCTCCTAGAGCAAGGAGGGGTATGAGCTCAGGGAAAGGGCACCCAGAGAAGTAAACAGGGAGGCAAAGGGCAGATGGCTATAGTGGAGGACAAGCGCCAGTAGAGAACACAGAATTTGGCAGGTTGCAGAATTCACGTGACTGTGATCTGTTTAGCCTAGGACAGCACTGCCACCTAATGGAGATTTCTAAATGTTGCTCAGCTTTTTCTCAGCTGGGCACATGCAGAATTTCAGACCATGAGGCAACACCCTAGGCTTCAAGGCTGAACCTAAATACTCACTTCAAAAGTATTGTTTAAAATCTCTAAGTAGTTAGAGTTGAAATTTTCTTTCTTGATAATAAAGGCAGTTCATTACAAAAAGGGAAAATACACAGAACTCACTCATGACCCACCATGCAGAAGCCACTGTGAACACTGACGTACTTCTTTTCATAGTATATGATCTCTCCATGGTTGGGCATTTACAGCATTTTGATTTCTGACGATAGTACATGCAATCAATATTTTGGGGTGCCTTGCCTTGTTTGAAGGTCAAAGTTTTCCTTCAGGAAATACATCTGGTTTGGCAGTCTGAACATTTGTAAGGCCTGTGCTATAGTAGAAATTGTGCAGGCTTTGGTCTCAGACCAATCTGGGTTCTGATGAGTGAACTGAATCGGTGCATGGCTCTGGGCAAGTCACACACTCTGAGTCTCAAATGGCTTATGAAAATGTGGATAATCCTGAGGGTCTTTGAAGATTCAAGATAATAAATGTAAAGTGTCTGGCACATGTACATGCTCAATAACTATACCAATAGCAGCACCTTGCCAATTTGCTTCCAAAAAAGGTCTACAACAGTTCTTACTGGAACTGGTATCGTATGAGTCCTCACGATACTATATCCTCTCCAAAGAGACTATCGTATCTTCCCCAACCCCAAACCATGGGTCTTTATTTTTATTTTTTTTCTTGAGATGGAGTCTCACTCTGTCGCCAGGCTGGAGTACAGTGGTGTGATCTCGACTCACTACAACCTCCGCTTCCCGGGTTCAAGTGATTCTCCTGCCTCAGCCTCCTGCGTACCTGGGACTACAGGTGCGCACCACCACATCCAGCTAATTTTTCCATTTTTAGTAGAGACGGGGTTTCACCATGTTGGCCAGGATGGTCTTGATCTCTTTGCCTGCCTTGGCCTCCCAAAGTGCTGGGATTACAACTGTGAGCCACCGTGCCCGGCCTATTTTTAATTTTTTTTGGAGATAGGGTCTCTCTGTTGCCCAGGCTTTAGTGCAGTGGTGAGATCATAGCTCACTGCAGCCTCAAGCTCTTGGGCTCAAGCCATCCAGCCTCAGCCTCCCAAGTAGCTGGAACTACAGGCAGGTGCCACCACACCTGGCTAATGGTTTTTAAATTGAGGGGTCTTTGGTTCTCAAGCTTTTGGTATCTTGGCTTTTACATCCTAGAATGAACGAACAGGGGCTTCACCTCTAATGAAGCTGAGAGAAAGAAAAAAGAGGAGCCTTTCACATAAACCTTTTCAAACCAGTGCCCCAATGTCAGGGCATCTAAGCTGCCATGACAAACCCTTGCTTCTGAATGGGTAGTATAATGAGGATTCTCCACTCAGTGATGAGCTATGCAGAAAGCAAACACACACCACAGAGGGAAGCCGAAGGAACACACACTTACCGCCGCTGCGGCTATGCCTGCTGTCTGTGCTGCGATGCCTGTGCCCTTCTTGGAATTCCGAAATCCCTCTGTGCCACAGGAAGCACGGGCAAGGGGCTCATTACTGGCAGAGACTACCTGGATCTGTGTGCTGAGAAAAGCAGAAGAAACACACAGGATACCACTCTTCTTTAGGGAAATAAGAGAGAGCTAATCTATGCCCCTAGAAGCCTGGGTGAGAAAGAAAAAGGAATTCAGTTGCTTCTACTTTGAGTTTATCAGATGAACATGTTTTGAACTCCTACAAGAAGTATCAGGAAAGGTCAGAATTCTCCCCTAAACCTGACTGAAAACTGGTAAGTCACATAATCTAAAGGGTGCTCCATAATCTGAGAGTAGTTACAAGTATCACCCAGAAACTGACTTTATTGGGGAAAGTTTTAAATATACACAAAAGTGAAGGGAATAACATATGAAATCTGATGGACCCATCAACCAGCTTCAACAGTTATCAACTCTTATCCAATTCAGTTTCATTTATAAACCTTGTTCCCACCCCACTCCCCTCACCAATGGATTATTTTGAAGCAAATCCCAGACCTATCATTTTGTCTGTAAATATTTCAGTATATAGCTCTAAAAGGACTCTTAAAAAAATATTAGTAACATTACCATATTGGATGCTTTTTTTTTTTTTGAGACGGAGTTTTGCTCTTGTTGCCCAGGTTGGAGTGCAATGGCATGATCTTGGCTCACAGCAACCTCTGCCTACCGGGTTCAAGCGATTCTTCTGCCTCAGCCTCCAGAGTAGCTGGGATTACAGGCATGCGCCACCACGCCCGGCTAATTTTGTATTTTTAGTAGAGACAGGGTTTCTCCATGTTGGTCAGACCGGTCTTGAACTCCTGACCTTAGGTGATCTCCCCGCCTTGGCCTCCCAAAGTGCTGGGATTACAGGCGTGAGCCACTGTGCCTGGCCTCATATTGGATACTTTTGATGCTTATGACACTATATTTCATGATCAAAAATTATTTTAAACAAGTAAAATTTTCTCTTTGTTTCTATTTTTTTGTGAGACAGGGTCTCACTCTGTCACTCAGGCTGGAAGTGCAGTGGCATGATCACAGGTCACTGCAGCCTCCAATTCCTGGGCTCAAGCCATCCTCCCACCTTAGCCTCCTGAGTAGCTGGGACTACAGGTGCATGTCACCATGCCCGGCTAGTTTTTGTATTTTTGTAAAGACTAGGTCTCACTATGTTCCCCAGGCTGGTCTTAAATTCCTGGCCTCAAGTGATCCTCCCAAAGTGATGGGATTATAGGTGTGAGCCACTGCATCGACCCACACCTTTTTCCTAATCGTCTCTAATAAGTTAACTTATTAATACAATTAAGATTATGCCTTAAGAAATCCTCAGATATGCTTTCGATTTCCCCTTTAGTCATCATCATTCTATTTCTGGTCTGGAGAGCTCTGAGAGCTCACAGAAGGAGGCAGGAGAAGTGACTAAAGGGGAGGCCCGCTGGAGTCAGCCCTGAGCTTGGGTCATCCGCTTGTTTTCCTGGGTATGGCTCTGCCATTCCCCCTACCAGTTTCTAGGGTTTTCCATACTGAATAGATGCATAATTGCTTGTCTCTGTGACAGCCTAAACAGTGCTGTACAGAGTAGACCATAGACACTTAAATGCAGAGTTAGCCTATGTCCTTATTAGCCTGAAAGGGGGAAAAAAAGGAAATCCAATTGCTGTCACTTTACGTTTATCTGACAAATGCTGAAATGAATCCTACAGCATTTCATCTGTGCCACACACTTTAGCCCATGACTCTAGTCTCTTGTGCTGGTCTCTAAATTGCTGGGTGGGTTGGCTGTGACCAAATACTGATCTCATTTCCAAGTGGGGGCCAACCTGCAAAGTTGTCACTAATACCAGAAATGCTTCTGTTGCCAGCATATGTTTAGGAATTCCCTTTAGACTGCCCCCGTCTGTAAGCCACACAAGAACACTAGTCTTGTCACTTTAAACTCACCATCCACATTTAGCTCTACAAGGCAGAGGCCAGTGCACAGTGGCCCACAGTAAGGACAATATCTATTTACTTGTTTAGATTCTGGTTAGTGTATTAATAAATCATATTAATATCTTGAATCATATTTCTTTTAATTTATATATCGTCCATTCCCTATCAGCAACACTTAATAAACACCTTCATGGTGGGACCATATGCCCCTAATACACTTCTTCCAACTATTGAGCAAAACTATTCTCAAGGAAAGCAAAGAAATCTTATAACTAGGAAATGCCCACCGTATGTCACATTTTCACGAAACTTGAATAAGCTTTGCAAAGACAGCAGGTGGTTCCTCAAGTGAGGAGGAAGATGCTGCTCTACACTGGCGCCATCATGCAGCACTTAGCACCCTCACTTCTACCCCAGGGTATTCAGGGCCAAGCTTGACTTTCCCTTTGAAGCAGAAAGAATCTCATGCTAGACCTGCCCAGTGTTTCCCTTCCCACTTACTTGTTGTAGGATGCTTTAATGTGTGCGATTGGGATCTCCTCAAATTTCTTTCCCGCCCACCTCAGAGAGCTCTCCTCTCCTGGAATGGGAGGGTAAATGCTGCAATTAGAAGAAAGATTTCATTTAAAATTATCTCAACTTTTTGAAAGTCAAAGAAATACAACACATGGTTAAAAAACAACAGCTCTCTGCCCCCTGCTGCTTCTGAAGTGGCTGCCCCCACCATTCCTTTTCAGTCCTTCTGGTGCCACCACTGCATCTGTGACTACCGTGCTTATGAGGCTGTTTCTTGACTTGTTGACTTCAGACACATCTAGGGACTTTCTGCTATGAGAAGAGATTTTAATTCATACTCCCCATCTTCCTTGTCCCTGCTAGTATACCCATATCATTATTTTCAGATCTTTTGTAGGTTCCTCTTCTCACAATTTAAAAAATAGTCAAACCTGTTTCTTGTTTCATCAACCATAGACAGTCTCTGGACTTTACTTTATAAAAAATGAGACAAAAATAATACTCATATCATTACCATTAAAAAAAATCCAGAATCCCCTGGAATAAAGGACAGCAAACCTTTTCTGTAAAGGGCCAGATAGTAAATATATTAGGCTTTGCGGGCCAACAGGTCTGTCCCAATTACTAAACTCTTCCACTATATCCCAAAAACAGGTATAGACAACAGTAAATTAATAGGCTGTGTTCCAATAAAACTTTACTTACAAAAACAGGCAACTGGCCAGATTTGCCCAGTGAACCATAGTTTGCCAACCTCTACCCTAGACCAGTGGTTTTCAATGCAGGCTGAACATCAGTCAGCTGTGAAGCATACAGATGTTTAAGCTTCACCCTGGACTTCTGATTGGGGTCTGGAAATCAATGTTTCAAATGTCCCAATAGAATCAGATGTGAACACATTGTCTTGCGTTCAAGATCTTCCACTGTCTTAGTCCAAGCTGTTTTCTGGCTATTTCTAGCTAAGTACTCTTTATTTTCAGATGGCAAAAATTAGGTACCAATAGGGAAATAGGGTTAGTAAGAGAAGCCAAGCCTTGGACCTAGGAGATCTGTCTCAGTCTAGAGCTTTCCTCACCAAGCTATGATTTTTTTTTTTTTTTTTGAGACGGAGTCTCGCTCTGTCGCCCAGGCTGGAGTGCAGTGGCCAGATCTCAGCTCACTGCAAACTCCGCCTCCCGGGTTTACGCCATTCTCCTGCCTCAGCCTCCCAAAGCTGTGATTTTTAAAATTTGAACGCACACAACCATCCTTCAGCAATGGAGCTGGAAATGAACTTGCTGTTCCACTAGGCCTACACACATAAATCAGATTCATGTTTGTACCCACCACAGCCACTTGAAATACAACAGATTCCATTTTAGAAATTATATTATAATCTGAGGGTTACTCTCACCCTAGCCCTACCTGCTTTTCTAGAGGTATTTTAAAAGGCAAAACAAAAACACACTGGTATTCAAAGGTTACAAGTATATTCTTTCCTGTGGGTTTGACCTTATAAGTTATTAGAACTGCCTGGCAATCGTACAGCACATCCCCAGTTCAATTATCCTTCCATTCTCCTAGATGACTCTTATACCTTCTTTTGTCTCCTCTAACCTCCAACTCCCTGCTTCCTCACTGCTGAGCGGATGACCTCTATAGGTGAATAGAAGCAATCAGACTTTCTTCCAGCTCCCACTACCGAACATCTGTGCCCACAGCCTTTGTGCTGTCTCCTGTTACAGTGCTCCACTTGTGTATTAGCCCCTGAAGGACGCTGTTCCCACAATGTCCCCACTCCAGTATCACTTGTTTTTTCCCCTGTATACTGCACTACTCCCAATGGCAAAACATATTGTTATGTTCCAAACTGAAAAAATAACAAAACAACCCTCCAAAACCTCTTGAACCCACCTCCTGGGAGCTACTGTCCATTTCTCTATACCCTTAGAGCAGAGCCCTCTTAAGGAACTTTAAGGTACTGACTATACTTGCTGTTTCTTCCTGTCCTCTGCCTCTATTCTCCTTGAACCCATTTCAATCAGATATGAGCCCCTACCATTCCACCAAAAATGCTTTAATCCGACTAACTCCACATTGCTAAATACAATACGCAATTCTGTTATTGATCTAGCAACCTATCACATCAGCAGCATTTGACACAGTTGATCTCCCCACTTTGAGTCAAATTAAAAAACAAATGATCTCTCCTGGTTTTCCTATTATCTCTCTGGAAGTTCCTTGTCTCTTCTGATGGTTCTTCCTAATCTCCCAAATCTCTAAATGTGAGAGTGCTCCAGGGTTCAATCCTTGAACCTCTTCTCTTCATCTACATTTACGCTATTAATGATTTTGTCATCTCATGGTTTAAATATCTCTATGATGTCTCCCAACTGTATATCTCTAGCTAAAATCTGTCCCTTAACTCCATTTCTTTTTTTTTTTTTTTTTTGAGATGGAGTCTCGCCCAGGTTGGAGTGCAGTGGTGCGATCTTGGCTCACTGCAACCTCTGCCTCCCGGGTTCAAGCGATTCTCCTGCCTCAGTGTCCTGGGTAGTTGGGATTACAGACTCGCGCCACCACACCTGGCTAATTTTTGTATTTTTAGTAGAGGCGGGGTTTCACCATGCTGGTCAGGCTGGTCTCAAACTCCTGACCTGGTGATCTGCCTGCCTCGGTCTCCCAAAGTGCTGGGATTACAGGTGTGAGCCACCACACCCGGCCCTTGAGCTCCATTTCTAATGGTCTACATTGTATCTCCACTTGAATGTTTATTAAGCATCTCAACAACCCCCATCCAAACTCCTGCAGTCTTCCCCATCTTAATGACAACTCCATCTTTCCAGTTGTTTAGCCCAAAAAATTTTGGGGTCTTCCTTCGCTCCTCTCTTTTTCTCACACTATATATTAACAAATCCTGCTTGTTCTACCTTCAAAATATGTCAGACCATTTATAATACCTCCATGGCAATAACCATGGTTCAAGCCACCATCATTTCTTGTCTGGATTATTTCAATAGTCTTCTAACTGCTTAGAGGACTCTTCCCAGCTTCCATTCTTGCCCTCCTTTGGTTTAATATCAACACAGCAGCCACAGGGCTTACAAGATCTTGTCAGCAAGATCATGTCAACCCTTTATTCAGCAATTTCCATTGGCCTCCCATCTCATTCAGAGTAAAAGCTGAAGTCCTCACAGTGGCCGACAAAGTCCTACAGAATGTGGCTATGCAGGCCTGCTGGACCCCCACCTCCCCTTTCCAACCATTATTCTCCTACATTTTACTTGTTTTCTATTTACTGTCTTCTACCCACTGGAATTTAAGTTTTATGAGGCCAGGGCTTTTTGTCTGTTTGGTCAGGGATATATCCCCAACACTCTGAACAGTGCCTGGCATTAAGAAATGACTACAACAGAATCTTGGTTTAGATCCTTTCAGCAGCTCCTCACTGTCTTCAGTGGAGACATTGTAAAAGCTCCAGTGTGACAGACAAGACCCTTGACATTCTGATTCCTTCTTGTCTTGTTGGCCTCATCTGCCATCACATACACACCTGAACACACCACGATTTTCATACCACATGCCTTTACACAGATGGTTACCTTTGTCTCCAGTGACCCACTTCAACTTGTCCAGATGAACTCCCATTCGCTTCTGAGCTCCATGTTCTTTTCTCCATGGTCTTGCCTGATTTCCTCAGGAATGAGACACTTATTCTGTTTTTTTCCTTTGAGACAGAGTCTCACTCTGTCACCCAGGCTGGAGTACAGTGGCGTGATCTTGACTCACTGCAACCTCCGCCCCCCAGATTCATGCGATTCTCCTGCCTCAGCCTCCTGTGTGGCTGGGATTACAGGTGCCAGCTATCACGCCTGGCTAGTTTTTGTATTTTTAGTGGAGATGGGGTTTTGCCATGTTGGCCAGGCTAGTCTCAATCTCCCGACCTCAAGTGATTAGCCCACCTCGGCCTCCTAAAGTGCTGGGATTAAAGGCATGAGCTACTGCACCCGGCCAGGAGTTAGGCACTTATGTTTTCATACTTCCAAAGAATGCTTACCTCTATTCTATTGAGCAAATTATGGTGAAAATGTTTGCATGTATGTCTTCCCTCAAAGACTGTGAACTACTTCTGGGGAGGAATGATCTTTTGTATCTGTATTCACAGCACCTAGCATGGTGTCTCACTCATAGTAGATTCTTGGTAAATGTTTGTTAAATGGATGTGAAGTTAAGTGGATGTGTATAGAGCATACAGAGGTGGTGGCACTGGTGGGAAGCAAGATGCCAGTTCCTAGGGCTGAGCACAAAACACACCGTGGACCATCTGTAAGATGTGCAGAAGCATCTGTTCCATCGCTAGCGCCCTCCACCTCCCCATTTTGTGTTGGAGGCAGGGAAGGTTGTTAGTCTGAAAAGATCTCCATCTCAGAAGGAAAGAACGCTGATACATGTTATGGACATCTCACATTCACTCATTGATTTAACGAATGTTCACTGAACGTTTACTCTGTACCACGGCTTATGTGATTCTCACCACCTCTCTCAGCATTATCCGCATTTTTAGATGAGAAGGCTGAGGCTCAGATTTATTTGCAGAAGGTCCCACGGATAGCAAGTGACAGAGCTGAAAATTAACTGGTTCTGACTCTGGAGGGTGTCGGGCAAGAGGCAGGGGTTGCGGGTCTCCAGAGGGCCGGTCCAAGTGGGGCTCACCTGAACCTGGTGTGGCTGGGAGCCGCCGCCTTCTCTTCAACTTTCTGCTTGGCCGCAGCGTCTTGGAGCTGCTGGGCGTCTGTGTGGATTGTCCGGGCTGGCGTCCTGGCCACGACCCTGCCGGGAAGAAAAGCTCGGTGAGGACCACGGCCTAACGGTCACTGGGGCCCGGGTGGCTCAAGGGACACGAGTAGGAGCATAGCTCTGAAGGTGGCGGTGGGCTCGAGAGGGCAATCATTTGTTACCCGGTTGTTTGGGGCCAAGTCCAGGACCGCAAGAACCACGACCCCACGTTTCTTACAGCCTGCATGACTTGAATTGACACCAGTCAGCTTCCGTCGGCAGCGTCAGGCATAGCTGCGCCAGCGCCGGTACCATGAGTGTCTGTCGGGGAGGGGACAGAAGGGAAAGTCATCATACTCTTCATCAGGTCCACTGAATGCTTTTATTTCCATTTAAATGCTCAATAAGACTTTCATTGTGGTTCACTAGGGGATTCTTTCCCTTTTTTAATGTTCTGAGATGTGGGCTCACCCCTCCATATGCGAATGGTTCGTTCTAGCAGTTCCGGGACTGAGCTCTCCCCTAGTTTGCCGCTCCCGCGGCTGAGGGCTCCCTGGGAGCCGCGGTGCATTGTGGGAGATCGAAAGATGGCGGCGCCCGTAAGGCGGACGCTGTTAGGGGTGGCGGGGAGCTGGCGGCGGTTAGAGAGGCTCTGGGCCGGTAGTCTAAGCTTTCGCAGCCTGGCTCTTGCAGCCGCACCCTCAAGCAACGGATCCCCATGGCGCCTGTTGGGCGCGTTGTGCCTGCAGCGGCCACCTCTAGTCTCCAAGCCGTTGACCCCATTGCAGGAAGAGATGGCGTCTCTACTGCAGCAGGTGGGACTGAGATGCAGGGTTCAGAGTGACGTTTATTCTGCGTGACTTTGAGCTAGTAATTTCACCTCTCTGAACTTAAGTATACGGTACTTATCCGCAGAATAGTACCTACCTTACTGACTTGATTTGGTACGTAGATGTTCAACAAAAAGTGGTTTCTTTTCATTGGCTGTCTTTATTGTCACCTTAGGCAACTCTTTGGAGAGTTACTTCTTGTTCATGCAACACAGTAGGGATCCTGTGGTGAACAAGAATCGGTCCCTGTCACTAGAAGTTTACAAGTCTGGAGGAAGAAAGTGTTTGTGGTGTGATGAATATTAAGAAGGAAATACAAGAGGCGGTGGGCACATCTGTAAGATGCCTATGATAAGCCTGCTCTGTTTTACCTCATGGGGCTATCTGTGTGAGGGGCAAGTGAGGAAGCATGGGCAAAAACAGTATAGTGGCTGTGAGGGTGTGAAGTCGCTACAGAAAGGGATTGAAGGGTGATATGTTTCCTCAGAATCCGAGATGTTTTTGTCTTGGTCTGTTGAGAACGATAAACTTCTCTTCTGTGCTTTTTGTTTGATTTATTCATTTATTCGCTCACTTGACAAATATTCGTTACTCACCCTACAGATATTCAGTGTGCCGATACTATGCATCAGAGAGTATGTTAAGTGAGAGAGATGCTGTAATGAGTAAGGCAGAAGTAGCTCTGGTTCTCACAGTACTTCAGTCTAGTTGAGTGAGAGGATCAGTCAGTAAGCAAATAGTCATACAACGAAATGCAGACCCTGATAAGTGTTGTTAAGGAAAACACAGGGCACTATAAGAGTGTTTAACAAATACATCACATTTTGATTTTATGGTGAGTGTCAAGGAGTGTTTCAGGCTTTCTGAATACAGGTTTTTCTCTATATGAGAAATATGTCTCTGAGACAGTCCTATTTAAATTGAAGTCAGAAGGATGAGTAGGACTCTCCCAGAAGAAAGAATGTGAGGAAAAACATTCTAGGAAGAAGGAACAGCCTCTTGAAGGTCCCTGAACAGGAAAGTCCTTGGTGGGTGAGTTTCTGATCAAAGACTGACATGACTGGATTGTGGTAAGTGAGCAGGCATTGCCCATCCCAGCTCTCTGTTTTTGTAGCAGTCTTCACCCCCAGTGATATTCTAACATTTTTGGCAAATGTAACTCAAGCCCAAAGTTCAGAGGACCCTTTTTTCCCTCTGTTTCCTTTCTGCATGGTGTTTTGATTGTATATCTGGTTATGTTGGGTGATAAACTTCTCAGCCTGCCAAGTGTGGCATATCTCTATTTTATTCTTCCTGGTTTTTTTAATTTTAGTTTTGTCAGATTAAGGTAGTTTTTTGCCCTTTTAATTTTCCCAGATTGAGATAGAGAGAAGCGTGTATTCAGACCATGAGCTTCGTGCTCTGGATGAAAACCAGCGATTGGCAAAGAAGAAAGCCGACCTTTATGATGAACAAGATGAACAGGATATATTGCTGGTGCAAGATTTGGAAGACATGTGGGAGCAGACATTTCTACAGTTCAAACTTGGAGCTCGCATAACAGGTTGTGATCTTTTTAGGCCAGCAAGAAGGAAGGGAAAAGGGGTATTTGGGTTCCCAAATAAAAGACAGTTGCTTGGCCCCTGCTTTGTGTTTTAAGTAACAAATAATTTCATATTCTCTTCTCTGTTGCTCACATCTACCATAATGTGACTTTAAAAGTCTGTCTTATTTTCGAGTGAGAGGTAAGGGTATTGGAATAGACTTTGCTCTCAGTTAAACTTTGTGAATGTTATCTGTGTTTAACTCCAAGTTTGAGACTGAGAATGGGGCAATTGAAGCCTTTTTCCACTAATTCCTGTGTTTTATGTGAAATCCCTCTTAAAGCGGGAGATTGAGTTCTGTTTTCCTTGTTTCACAGGTGAAGACTGAAGAACAGAGAGAGTAGGGGCTAGTTTAAGTCAGTAATAGTATAAAAACCAATGAAGTAGTTGTGTTTGAATTAGTATGATCATTGTTTCTTTTTTGAAGACTCAAAATATGGTTTGCTATTCAAAGAAGTTTACCTCTTGATTTCTTACCTTTTAGTTTCCTCAGGATTGTGAGACTCTTCCCTGAAAGAGGTCAGAGTGGAGGTCAGAGCTAGAGAGATGGGTCAGAGGTGTAATTTGGTTCTAAGCTCTTTGAGGGCAAGGATTGTGGATCTTAAAGGAAGATTGTAAAACTCCAGGCTTCTTGGTTCTGGCAGATCACAGTCTTCTTACCTCCTCTGACCCCGTTTGCTGTAGAAGCTGATGAAAAGAATGACCGAACATCCCTGAACCGGAAGCTAGACAGGAACCTTGTCCTGTTAGTCAGAGAGAAGCTTGGAGACCAGGATGTTTGGATACTGCCCCAGGCAGAGTGGCAGCCTGGGGAGACCCTTCGAGGAACAGCTGAACGAACCCTGGCAACACTCTCAGGTGGGTTTTCTGCCTTCCTCTAAATTCCGCAAAATTCACTTCAGACTCAGCCAGAGGATTTACAGGCTGACTGGGGAATTGGATTAAGGGTGGGGGTGGGAAGGTTAATGGAAATTTTGAAGTTTATAAAAATTTCAGGCAGAAAAACCCAGGTAAGGATTTTTTTTTTTTTTTTTTTTTTTAAGACCAGGTGAGAATCCTTTGTTCCACTGAGATTTTAAAATTTAGTACATTCAAAATTGATATTTCTACCATTTTCTCAGCTTGCTTGTCTTATCTTTGCAGCACTGCTTATTGGCATCACTGCTTGTCTGTTCACTCAATTTGAAACCTCAGAATTATCCTTGACCTCATTTCTACATCCATAAGTCCTTGAGTCCCTCGTGATCTGTTCTAAATAGTCCTCTCTTTGTTCTAACAGCTTTAGCTGTGACCCTCTTCACTTCTCACTAGACTAGGGTTTCCCATCTTTGGCATTATTGGTGTTTGGGGTCGGATAAGTGTGGGGAGCTATTCTTTGCGTTACAGGATGTTTAGCAGTATCTCTGGCCTCTACATACTAGACGCCAGTAGCACTACCTCATCCCCTGACCCCACCCCCAGTGCAACAACCAAAATATCTCTAGACATGGCCAGATATTACCCGGGAGTAAATTACAGTGGTTGAGAAGCGCTATACTGAAGCCAAGTAAGTTTAACCTTGGTTTTGTGGAATGCCCTTCAATTCTGCCAAAATGAGCTTTCTGAAACACAAATCCCTTGTCACTTCTCTGCATAGAATTCTTAAAAGGTTTCCCATAAAAATTCTAAGTGTCAAGCATGGCCTGCAAATCTTATTTGCCCTGATCCCAGTCTCATCAGTCTTCTGTCTTGCTGTTTGTTAATGTAAAATTCAAGTTCGAACTTAACCTTTTGCACTCCTTGAATAATATGGTCTTTCATGTGTCTCTGCTTTGGGGCCTGCTGGTCCCTTATGAAATACTTTACTCCTTCCTGGCCTGATTGCTCAGTTTTTAAAACAGCTTTTACATTATATGTTATGTGGTGAAACTTTTCCCGAGCCTTCAGGAAGACAGAGCTACTCCTCTCTAAGCTCCCATAGCACTGGTGTGTGTCCTTATTCCATTTATGCAACAGACATATAGGGTCTCAGTGATGAACGGTACACTACCCTACTCCCTAGGAGCTTGTGTTCTAGTGGAGAATGCATTCTTTCACTTATGCCATTGCACTGTAATTGTTTACTAACACATTTTTCTCCCTAGTCAGAATTTTGACTTCCTTGAACATATGGGCAGTATCTGTTCCTCGCTCTGATCGTAGCTTTCAGCAAAGTACCTGGCACATAGGCATCTGTTGAATGTTGACTAAATGGATTTTGTGGTGCACAGCCACTTTACCTGCCCTCCCATCAGCACAAGTACCCGCTAATGAAATGTCAGCAGCCAGTGTGTGTTCCCTTGACTCCCAAGGGGCCTGTGTGGCCTGCAGGAGAGACATCAAGACAGAATGGAATATGGTAGGAGAAGAGGTTGCTGCTTCCTCAGTCTCCTCAGCCATTACATAGGAGTCAGCAGCTGAGTTTCTTGTGAGGATCATTGTGTTTAGGTGCTCAGCCTCTCTTACCGTGGAACATTCACAACTGATCCTTGCTCAGTGCCCCCTTCTGTTTGCAATGTGGAAAGGGGTTCCACCTGAGCACTATGCTTTCCTTTAAACATTGCCATTGTAATAAATAAATGTAAAAGAAATATATCAAATATATTAAAAGACGTATTTATGTTTAATAGATGCATATAAAATAGTGTATTGACTTATTACACATTTACTAATCTGACAATATAAAATGGCAAAGAAAAGCTCTAGCACTTTAAGAGCATATACTGTATATTGAAAAAGTGAAAGTGCACTCCTTTCCTCCCCATTGGCTCCACACTTCCAGTATTTCTGCGAGATGGAATTTCTAGAGGTAGAATTAATGGTTCAAAGGTGTGCACACTTCAGTTTTTGGTAAGTGCAGCCCAGTTGCCCTCCAGAATGTATATAACAATTGATGTTTTCCAGGAGTGGTGTCTGAGAGTGCCTCTTTGTGTAAACCTCACCAACATATGAAATAGTTGCTTTTAAAATTTTGCTCATCTAGTGAGTCAAAATGTTCTCTTTAAGATTAGCATTTTCCTGTTTGCTAGTGAGATTCACTGTCTTTTCATATGTTTATTGGTTGTTTGTACTTTTTCTTTTGTGAACTGCCTATTTAGATCGTTTGCTCATCTTTGTAATAAGCTGTTTTCTTCTTTTTAGTTTGTTTATGTTTTTAATCCATCTCTTCCAGATTATAGAAAAGTAACATGCATTTATGGAATTAAGTTTAGAAACTTCAGGGAAGTGTAAAGAAATAGGCCAGTACAATTCCACCACTCACAGATACCCACTGCTAACATTTTTTATTTTACGTGAGCTCACACTATCTATAAATTTTTCATCTAATGCTAGTAGTGTTTTTTTTTACTTTTTAATATGAGAAAAGCAATTCACGTATGTGGTAAAAAAATTACCAGTGTCTAGTAAATGTAGTGTAAGATGTAATTTTCCTTTTTCAGAGACAACCTCTATTAATAGTGTTTTTCTGTATCTCTTCAGAAATTCTCTGTGCGTATACAAATGCATAAATGTTTTGTTTTCTTTCTTTCCATATAACGGGAGCATGTATGTACACTGTTATGTGCCTTCCTTTTTTCTCATATACACTTTTAAACATCTTTTCAGATCAGCCTATTAAGACCTATCTGAAGCTTTTTTAACACCGGCATACTATTTTATAATATGTATGTACTGCAGTTTGTTTAGCCAGTCTGTTTTTACAAACAAAGCTGCAGTGAATATCCTTGTACACTCATCTTTGCTCATATGGGCAAATTAGTATATCTGGTAGGATAAAAGTCTAGAAGTGGAGTTGCTAGGTCAAAGGACATGTGCAATTAAATTGACACCTCTCGCCAATTAATAGCAGTTATACAAATTTATAACCCCTCCAAAATATGTGTGAAAGTACAAGTTTTGGCCGGGCGCGGTGGCTCAAGCCTGTAATCCCAGCACTTTGGGAGGCCGAGACGGGCGGATCACGAGGTCAGGAGATCGAGACCATCCTGGCTAACACAATGAAACCCCGTCTCTACTAAAAAAATACAAAAAAATTAGCCGGGCGTGGTGGCGGCGCCTGTAGTCCCAGCTACTTGGGAGGCTGAGGCAGGAGAATGGCGGGAACCCGGGAGGCGGAGCTTGCAGTGAGCCGAGATCGCGCCACTGCACTCCAGCCTGGGCGACAGAGCGAGACTCTGCCTCAAAAAAAAAAAAAAAGAAAGTACAAGTTTTTTCCTTATCCTTCACAAGCAGTGTACAGCTCAGTTTTTGAACTTTCTACTAATAATGATATATACTGTTGTTTATTTCTTTAAATTATTAATAAGATTCAACACCTTTTAATGTATTTATGGGCCAGTGATATTTATTTTCATGCGAGCTTACTATTCATGTGCTTGGTTCATTTTTCTTTTTAATTTGTTGGTTTTTTTCTCATTGATTTTTTTTCTTTTAGAGATGGAATCTTGCTGTGTTGCCCAGGCTGGCCTTAAACTCCTATTATCAAGCAGTACTCCTACCTCAGCTTTCTGAGTATCTGCGCTGATTTTTAAGTGCTTCTTATACCTTAAGATATTCCTTTGTTGAATGTGTTGAAAATATTTTTCCTAGTTTGTCATTTTATCTTTGACTTTTTTTGTGCTTTGTTTTTCCTTGCAGAAAGATTTAATTTTTATGTAGACAAATATAAATCTTTTGTTTTTTGGGCTTAAAATTTTGTTTCTTTCTTAGAAAGGCCTTGCCCTCTCAAATAATATGTTAAGGTTTAAGAAAGCATCCTACATTTTCTTCTAATGCTCATATGTTTTTATTGTAGTTAGAAAATACGCCCAGCACTTTGGGAGGCCGAGGCAGGTGGATCACTTGAGGCCACAAGTTCAAGACCAGCCTGACCAACATGGCAAAAGCCCGTCCGTACTAAAAATACACACAAAAAAATTAGCTGAGCATGGTGGCACATGCCTGTAATCCCAGCTACTCAGGAGGCTAAGGCATGAGAATCCTTTGAACCCAGGAGGCAGAGGTTGCAGTGAGCCAAGATTGCACCACTGCACTCCAGCCTGGGTGACAGAGCGAGACTCTGTCTCAGAAAAAAAAAAATACAGAAAAGATTGGAAAATATTAAATGTCCATGAAATAACCATCCAGAATGAACAAATTTTTTATGAAAAGTGAAAATGTCTGTGTTCAATCTTTGATCTGTATGGTATCAATTTTAATGTGAGGACTGAGCATGGGATCCAGCTTGGCTTTTCCTGTCTGACTGGTCAGTTCTTCAGATGCCATTTAATAATTAGTCCATCATTTCCCCATCCTTTGAAATGCTGGGGTTATTAACCCTTAGTTATAGATTACAGATATTTTCTACTCATCCGTTTTTGTCTTTAAGTTTGTTTATGACTTTTTTCACCTGGTAGGAGTTAAAACTGGGGTCCTTTTTAATGCTTTCCATGTGACACCCTTTTTAAAGGTGAACTTTGTTTTACAGACCAAATGTCCTGGTCCTTCACCAATAGACAGTGGCTGGGCTGAACGTAGGAACTAGGTGCTCTGACTCCCAGGTGTGATTGTAACTGCATTGCTGACTTTCAGTCTAAAAACAGTAGCTTGGCACATGGGAATGAACCCAGTGAATCTGGCTCCATGGGCCAGGAAGCATTTGGATTGAGAGGGGAGGAGGCTCTTTTCAGGAATGGCTCTAGTCCTATTCCTAGGGATTGATTTTACCTCAGGGCCAGATCTTGCAGAGACCCCATATAATTTTGGGAGCCAGAGTAAACAGATGTTTGTATCCTTACCGGTGATTTTTCTTTTCCTCCTTCTTCAGAAAACAACATGGAAGCCAAGTTCCTAGGAAATGCACCTTGTGGGCACTACAAATTCAAGTTCCCCCAGGCAGTGCAGACAGAGAGTAACCTCGGGGCCAAGGTGTTCTTCTTCAAAGCACTGCTATTAACTGGAGACTTTTCCCAGGCCGGGAATAAGGGCCATCATGTGTGGGTCACTAAGGACGAGCTTGGTGACTATTTGAAACCAAAATACCTGGCCCAAGTTAGGAGGTTTCTTTCGGACCTCTGATGGGCTGAGCTGCCTGTGGACGGTGCTCAGACAAGTCTGGGATTAGAGCCTCAAGAACATTGTGTGATTGCCTCACATTTGCAGGTAATATCAAGCAGCAAACTAAATTCTGAGAAATAAATGAGTCTATTACTGTGTTTGTTTCAGCTGATTTGCCCTTTGATGGTCCAGTGAAGAGAGCTGTGTCTTTCCATTTTTTTCCCCAAGGTGATAATTGAATACTGGATTATATTACAGTGCCTCACTGACTTACTGGGCCCAGGAAGAAAGAACAGAAGGAAATGAATTGACTTCCCAGAAGCCTTGAGTTCTGTGAAAGCTTCTCTAAGCCCTTGGGAAAAAACTAGTTCTATGTAGTTTCTTAGCCATTTCCAGTTTGTTTTTCCTTCTCTCTGTGCTTGATATGAAGGTGTTTTAATCTAGCCTGGGAAATAATCCTTCCTTCTTTCCCTCCTTTCATAAAAACATTTTATTTTAAAAAGAATTTAGTCATGTCTTACCTTTTTGGAAACAGTCATGTAAAATGTGCAAGGTTAGTTTATCTCCGTTCTACAGATGGAGGAATCATGGCCAGGCTGTGACTTAGCCCAGAGTCATACTGCATGTGCCTGTTGGTGCTAGAGGAGAACGCTGACCCCCTGCCCCTCGCCTCTTTGGGGCTCTTGGCTCTTCAGTGTGTTGCTTGGGTCCTCACTGGTCCCCAGTGCCTGGCACATACAAGGCACTCAGTAAACATTTGTTAAGTGAGTGGAGGAGCATGGGGACCTCAGGCATACCTTTGTCTGCCCAGAATAGTGGTTTTAGTCTGCAGTCCTGGATTCCCATGAGATGCTTCCTGGTTTCCTCTCAGACGGCCTGGGTTAAACAGGCTGTGAGCATGTGAAATGGGATTTCTCTGCATCAGCTGCAGCCTTATGTTCTTGCCCAGGGTCGGGGAAATTGCTTTCTGTGATCAAAATTGAGGGGCCTAGTTCTGATATTCCTCTGCTAATCTTTTTCCTCCTGCATGTGCTGTCTCCCCCACATGACTGAGGGGAGATGTGCCCTGGCATAGGCGCTGGTGGTGAGCTGCAGTGGCACCTTTGGAGTGAAGCCTGGGTGCAGCCACAGGGCCAGGATGCACATTGTGGGTTTTGCAGTGACGTGTGTGTGAAATGTATTGCATATTCTTAGGGCCACGGGCACCTCTGACCTAGAAGGGAAGGAATCACCGAAGTGAAGTGGTGACTATTTTCACGACCATGCCATGCGTGTCTGTAACAACATTGTTTTTTTTGATGGGAAGTAGCATATATGCAATTGGGAAATGGTGTCAGGATGACCCACAATTATGTTAGATTTTCTGCCGAACATTAATATTTTTAAATGATCGGGGACAAAATTGAATAGCTTAAGAAAAAAGCTGAAAATTTTCTAGAAGCACCTTCCTTTATTGCAAGTAGGGACTGGTTTAGTAGCTTCTAGAAGCACTGCTAGCCTTTGCATGATGTTCAGCTCTCAGGGGAAACTGTGAGTGGAATGGAAGAAGCTGTGAAGACACCTCACCCACCTTGTTTTAAAAAATTGATGAAGAAGGCCCTGTCCTGGATCACAGTTTTAATTTTGATGGAATGCATCTCTGCTAAGATTACATCTCAAAGGACCTACATCTCAGGAAGCAGTATAAGCCCCAGGATTTAAGGCTGCTAGGGACTGGTGTACAGGTGGTGGGGGTACTGCATCTGCATCATCATTAGGCTTCATTCTCTTTTGTTATTGCTCTGGTTACAGAATTCCATAGGTTTTGAGTGGTCTTCCCCAACCCCCTTTGCTGTTATTTTTGGAGTGTGATATTGCAGAATGCAAGATTTTTAGCATTATAGTATAAATAACTATATTTGCCGAGTGCCAGCTTGAATCTTCTACCGGCTGCCAAACATGACCAAAAAATTGTTTCTAGTGTATCCTTTGGGGGAAGATTGCCAGAGAACAAAATAAGAGGCGATGTTCTCAGTGTGGGAGGAGAGCGTAATGTGTGTGGTGCTGTGGGGATTAGGAGTTCCAGTTTGAAGTGTGTTTGTACAACCTAAGGAGAAATGCCACTGTGTGTGTGTGTGTGTGTGTGTGTGTGTGTGTAACATGTACAACAGACCACCCAGTTCACTGTAAGGATCCTTTGGTTGTTAAGGTTTAGCCTCCACCTCTTGGTCCTTGTTTTCCCAAATGATTTCCAGTCTCCTGGTTTTCACCTTTGCTGGTTCTACAGAGAAAATACTGCCCTGCTTACAAACTTGTTTTCATGGTAACTTATTTTTAAGGGTTACTTCCTGCTGGGCCAGTTCCATGCCTTGTATGTCCTTCTACACTTAGCACTTTATAGGATAATTAGTTGTTAATCTGGCTCCTGTAAAGGTTGAATATCCCTTATCTGAAATGCTTGGGAGCAGAAGTGTTTCAGGTTTCAAGTTTTTTTGGATTTTGGGATATTTGCATTGGTACATAATGAGGTATCTTGGGAATGGGACCCAAATCTAAACATGAAATTCATATATGTTTTATATGCATCTTATACACACAGGCTGAAGATAATTTTATACAATATTTTAAATAATTTTGTGCATGAAACCAGATTTGTGTTAAGTACTTGATGTGTGGAGTTTTCCACCTGTGGTGTCTTTGAGGCCCTCAAAAAGTTTTGGAGTTTGGAGCATTTTGGATTTTGGGGTTAGGAATGTTCATCTGTACCTCTTGGACTTCAGAAGCTGTGTAGTAATTAGCTGCTTTCCCCATGAGCACTGGACTTGGGGTCAGAAAACCTGGATTTGAATTTTTTTTTTTTTTTTTTTTTTTTTGAGACGGAGTCTCGCTCTGTGGCCCAGGCTGGAGTGCAGTGGCCGGATC